TCAATGATGGTTGTTTCAGTATTATAGTTGTAATTTTGATTCATACTATTCTTAAGGAATAACAATAAAACTAAAAACTAACTTTTCAACAGAAAATAACTGAAGCTAAGATATCTACATGTTGAAAGAAACTGTCAGGCTAGATTTTTATACTCAACAGAAATATCAATTAAAATAAAGTGAAATAAAGACATTTTCAGACAAATAAAATCTGAGTTTATAACCAGTAGGCACACTAAAGAGTATACTAAAGACTATTGTTTAAATAAAAGGAACATCATCTCATATAGAAAGTTGTAGATAACTGGAAGAAATGATGAACAATGGAAAAGGTAAATACATACACAAATCTAAATAAGAGTAGTGTAATGTCTTATGGGATTATAAATATGTGTTATATGTACTTAAAATACAACAACATCATATAGAAGAAAACAGAATTAATATGCTCTATCATACTTGTTCTGTCCATGAAATGATAAAAGTAGTAAATTATTAAGTCATTGATGTGTATTATAACATTTGGAGCAATCAAATAAAGGATGAATATTATAATAGCTAAGGAAGAGAGGGAAATGGGATTGGAATATTATATTGACATGTATGATACATACTACTGAAACAACTGCAATATATAATATAATAGAGGCCTGATGCATGAAATTCATGCACAGGTAGAGTTCCTAGGCCTGGGCGGCAATCAGGGCTAATCTATGGGGTGGCTGGTGGGGCAATTGGGGGCCCACACTGGCACCACCTTGGCTGGCCTAGGGCCTGTGGGTTGGAGGCAGCTTCTGCATTGAGCGTCTATCCCTTTGTGGTCTGGTCATTCCACAGGTCATTCTGCCAATCAGTTGATTTACATATTAGGCTTTTATTATATATTATATACACACACACTAGAGGTCTGGTGCATGGATTTGTGTACCAGTGGGGTCCCTTGGCCTGGTCTGCAGCTCTCTGACATTCCCCAAGGAGTCCCAGATTGTGAGAGGTTGCAGGCCAGGCCAAGGGACCTCACTGGTGCACAGTCGGGTCATGGGAGGTCTCCAGGGCATGTAGGCCTATCTCACCCAGTCCCCATCAGGGCCCAGGAGGGACTGCAGGAGGGCTCCAGGGTGTGTCCAGCCTGTTTTGCCCAGTCCTGATGGGCTGGACCCCAGCAGTAAGCTAACCTACCAGTCAGAGCGTCTGCCCCCTGGTGGTCAGTGCACATCATAGCAAACGTCGAATGGTCACTTAGGCATATATATAATAATATATATATTATATATTTTAATATATATATTTGCTAAAACCACTCAATGAGGAAGGAAAAACAAATACTGCTGGGATAACTGGATAGCCACTTGCAAAAGAATGAAGTTAGCCCTAGCTGGTTTGGCTCAGTGGATAGAGCATTGGCCTGTGGACCACAGGGTCCCAGGTTCAATTCCAGTCAAGAGCCCATGCCTCAGTTTCAGGTTCCTTTCCAGCCTGGGTCCTGATCAGGGGTTATGCAAGAGACAACCAATCGATGTGTTGCTCTCACATTGATATTTCTCTTTGTCTTTCTCTGTCTCTTACACTGTCTCTAAAAATCAATAGAAGAAAAGCCTTGGATAATGATTGAGAGAGAGAGGGAGAGAGAGGAATTAAGTTGGACTCCTACTTCAAGTTATATACAAAAATTAACACAAATTGGATTAAAAACTGATGTAAGAAGTAAAACTATAGGGCTCCTAGAAGAAATCACAGGGTATATCTTCATGACCTTGGATTTAGCAGTGGTTATTTAGATATAATAGCAAAAGCATAGCAACAAAAGAAAAAAAAATAGGAAAATTGGACTTTATCCAAATTAAAAATGTTTGTTCTTCACAGGTCACTATCAAGATAGTGAAAATGACAACCCACAGAATGGGAGTAGATATTTGAAAATTGTATTTCTGATAACAGACTTGTATCTAAAATATATTAAAATCAATAAGATAAATATCACAAATAATGGCTAAAGGACTTGAATTTATTTTGACTCAAGAAAAAGATCATAAAACAATTCTGATCTGGCCCTGGCTAGCTCAGTTGGTTAGAGTACTATCCCAATTTGCCAAGGTTGTTGGTTTGATCCCTGGTCAGGGCACATATAAAAAAAAATTCTGAGCCCATTCAGATAAAAGCCACTACAGATCCCAGAGACAGTTAAAGCATAATAAAAAGATACTGTGAGCAACTTAGTGCCAACAAACTTGAACATTTAAACAAAATGGGCATATTCTGGGGACAATATAACTTACCAAAACCTAACACAACTTTTAGTATACTCCATTCTCCATTGCCAACTGGCTCAGCATTAGGCTCTGCCTTCAGAAGGTGCTGGAGAAACTGCAAAACTGGAGAGGAGGAAGAGAGGACTTTTCTGCTCCCAAGATCTGTTTTTCCCTGTGGTGGCCATGCAGGGCTCCTAACATTGTTAGCCTTGCCCTCTTCTCAGAGATCTGTCTCAGCCTTGTTTTCCCCTCCCCTTCCTCTGACTTGTTAAGTTCCTCGTTTACAGTTCTTTCAGCCCTGGTAGGTGGCTACTCTGCAGTTACCACCTCTGTACATTTTAGAGCCCTCAAGTAGTTGACCACCTTTTACCTAATTAGCAGGGAAAACAGGAACTATTGGGTAGCCAAGCATAGAGGAAAGGTTTCTCCTTTTTGAAGTATTCCAGATAATGAAAAAAAGGATGATAGAATGAGTAACTAGTATAGTAGCCCCTCCTTATCCGCAGGGGATACAACCATGATAAAGTTTAATTTTTTAACTAGGCACAAGAGATTAACAATAATAACTAATAATAAAATGGAACAGTTTTGACACTATACTGCAATGAAAGTTATGTGCATATGGTCTCCGTCTCTTTCTCTCAGAATATCTTAGTTCTGTGCTCACCCTTCTTGTGATGAGATGTGAGATGAATGAGATATGAGATGATAAACACCTACATAATGAGATGAAGTGTTAGGCTACTGATCCTCTGATGATATATCAGAAGGAGGATCATCTGCTACCTGTGATCCTGAATCATTGGAATATGATGTCAATGGTTGATGATGTCATTGGTTAATGTCAGGAGCAGCTGAAGTTGATGATTCGGGAAATTTAATATTTCCAACCATGGTTGACCACAGGTAACTGAAACCATGAAAAACTAGGTAAGGGAAGACCATCATGCTATGACTATTTTATAACCCCTGTGCTGATACTACAGAGGGAACATAGTGGATGAATATGACACAATTTGGGAAGTAGTTTGGCTTCCCTCTGACTCCCCACTGGGGGAGAAAAAAAGACTGAATTTAATTGAGCTTCTAAAGATCTACTGATTGATGGGAAGAACAAAAAATAGGACATATGAAATCACACTCTAGGGCAGCAATTAGCAAAATCTAGACTGGGAAAATCTAGTACAAATAACTAAGTTTTAAGAAATAAATTAATAATGGAAAGGTAACCTTCAGATAAAAAATATTTAAGATGTATCAATTTAAACTATTAAACTTTTTTGATGTGTGTCTGATGGGAAATTTGAGCCATCATTTGATACCATTATTATTTGATGGTAATTAGGAATTTTTTTTAATTTTGCAATTCTATTTTAAAGGGAGTTCTTATCTTTTAGAGATATACAGTGAAATATAGATTCAAAGTAATGTGGGGTGGTAGAAGTGGGTGCATATGCAGATGAAACAAGATTGAAGATGAATGGTTCACTGTTGCAGGTCTGTGACAGTATTTGAGAATTTATTTTGTATTATGGCTATTTTTGTACATGTTTGAACTTTTCCAATAAGTTAAAATGGGGGTGGGGGAGTAAAAGGCCCACTTGAATAAAACAACAATTTCAAAGGAGTCAGAATAGGAAGAGGGAAAACTTGATCAGGCAAGAGGAAGGAGTGGGTAGGGTAATTTCAGGAGTGACTCCTCAGAAGTGAGGGGAACATGAGCCATCGCAGAAGTAAAGAAGTGGCATTAAGATAGGGGCACAGAGTCGTGGCCAGGTTTCTCAGTGGCCCGGAGACTGAAGGCTCCCGGGTTCGATTATTTTCAAGGGCATATACCTCAGTTGCAGATTGTTGTTGAAGATTAACAACAAAAAGGATGGGCACAGAGAGTTATAACCTGAGGGAGAGCAGATTCTCAAACTAAATTTCAAGGCCCCTGTGGTACCTTACACTGCACCTCATAAATACTACTGATAAATTTTTCTCTGGGAAGATAGAGTATAAAAGGGGATTTTAAAGATGGACAGGGAAATAACTGTTACTGAGCACCATGTGAACTTAAATACTTCATCTCAGTCTTCACCACCGTTAGATAAGGGAGGCTTTGTTAACCCACTTTATAATATATTTTATTGATTTTTTACAGAGAGGAAGGGAGAGGGATAGAGTTAGAGACATCAGTGTGAGAGAAACATCAATCAGCTACCTTTTACACCCCCGCCCCCCTCCCACTGGGGATGTGCCCACAACCAAGGTACATGCCCTTGACTGGAATCGAACCTGGGACCCTTTAGTCTGCAGGCCGATACTCTATCCACTGAACCAAACCTGTTAGGGCTGCTATCTCACTTTAATGAATAAGGAAATGGAGACTTCAAGAGATTGTCACACAGCTAGTAAATAGTGAAATTGGGAATCAAATTTGGGTATTTCTGCCTCCAAAGCCATTTCCCTCCACTGCAGCATACTGCTTTAAATGGAATCTGAAGTTCAGAATGGAAAACTTAATTATGTCTTATGTAGGAATACTTAAACTTCAAAATCACTCAAGTGAAGAGAAAACCCTACAGAATTCATGTATTAACTTTGCGAACTTATCAGAGATGAACATCCTCTTTTCAGACTACATTGGAATGACGTTTTGTGGCAACGAGGATTTAAAAATGAGCACTGATAATAGGCTTACTTACATACCACATTAGGGCTTTTAATTAGTACTTTACATTATTTTTTCTATATTTTTTCTCCCAGATATTGAAATACTTCCTGAATCATTTCTGAACATTGAATGGAAAGATAATAGATTACAGAAAGTTAAAGTGATTCTCCTGCTACCTCGTTGTTCAGGACTGGGGATTAGTAATCCAGTAGAATTTATTTTAAATGAGCATGAAGGTACTTGTTTTAATTTTTAAATTCTAAATTATTGAAATGTATTGATAATTTAAAATAATTAAAATGACATCAGATATATCTGATTAATGAATAGCTTCCATGTATGAAATACTATGTATAATGTACTTGATATTCACTGCCTCATCTAATCTTTAAGCCAATCCTATGAAATATGGGCAAGGGTGATATTCAAAATATTTAGTAATTGGAATGATGTAGGACATCAGAATAGAAGCTGGCCAGTGCTGTTCTGGCATATTCTGGAGCTCAAGTTATAGGCATTATAATTTATCAGTACTTATTTGTATTTTTTAAAATACTTTTTCTTATTGATTTCAGAGAGGTAGGGAGAGGGATAGATAGAGACATCAATGATGAGAATCATTGATCGGCTGCCTCCTGCACGCCCCCTACTGGGGATCAAGCCTGCAACCCATGCATGTGCTTTTGACCGGAATCAAACCTGGGACCCTTCAGTCTGCAGGCCAACACACTATCTACTGAGCCAAACCAGCTAGGGCAACAATTTATCAGCATTTTACAGATGAAAAAACAGACTCAGAAAGATTAATTCATTTTTATAAGGTCACATAGCTAGTTAGTAGCAGAACTAGGACTCAAATTTCAAACTCAAGACCTCCTTAACATGTATGGTTTCTGATACGAATACTCAGATTAAATGTTAATTCTAGGAATATTTTATTTCCTTCTTTAATAACTTTCAAAATATTATTTAACATGAACCTTTATTGAGCACTTACATGTAAGGCATTACTGAGCTAAGCACTTTGGATAATGTCACCATATCCTCACAAGAATGCAAAGAAGTAGTTACTCTTATAATCTTCATCTTACAAATACAGAATCTGAGGCTTACAGTAGAGTTTGAAGTCCCCCAGTCATTTGACTAGTGAGTGTCAGAGCCCGGATTCAAGCACAACGGCTCTGACTCCAAGGTCAGCACTTTGAATCCTTCTCTTAATCACAGTATATTGGCCCCATGTTAGCTGAAATTGACTCTTACTCTAATCCCTTTACATTGAAAGGCGTAGATAAAGGTAACTAGAATACTAGACAAAGAAGACATTCCAATAATATTCAGAACATGGTGAGTAACTTCTCTTTCTAGCAAGGACATAATTTAAAATTGAGAGAAAGAAATGAAGGGAAAAGAACTAATATTTATTGAGCAAAACTGTGCACTATCACTTAATAGTCACAATAACTTTTTGGGGTTAGTGTTATTTGATTATTTGTATTTTACAGAGAGGAAAAATCCAAGACTCAGAGAAATTTAGCAAGTTGCCTAAGGTCATATAGCTAATAAATAGCAAAACCTGGTTTTAAACTTAATCAGCACATTTTCTTTCCAGTACATTTTTAAAATTTGTTTTACTACATTCCAGCACATTTTTAAAATTTGTTTTACTACATTATTTTTAATTGGACTTACACTGTACCATGTGGAATATTGATGTGCTGTAGATAATGTTTTTCCAGTGAGAGTTAAACAGAAGAATAACTATCTGAGATGGGAGAGCAGGCTGAGAAAATGCCTGAACTAACTCTGGGAAACGATCAATGAAGAAGTAGTAGACACTGAAAGTAGACGGGGAGAAATAGCACCTATAATAACCTCACAGGCAAGAGAATCATAGCTGAGAATGTGGGTCTCTGGCCTTATCCGGGGCCATGTTGGAGTGGGAATGCAGAACTAAAAAAGCCGTGGATGAAAATAAACCGGAGGCTGGGAGACCAGCCCAAGGGAAATGACAAATGATGAGAAAAGAAAAAGTTTTCTAGGTATTGGTAACGTTTGGAGGCAACATGATAAAGCCAACAAGTGGTCTTTGGCAAACTTGGAAAACCGAGGGCTTCTGAAGAAAACTACTCTGAGGAAATAATAGCCAAAGCAAATAAGGAGCTGCTGACCTGATGACTATGGATGAAACGGTAGCCATGAATTTAGGGGATGAATCCAAAAGATTCTTTTTAAAAAAATATATTTTATTGATTTTTTACAGAGAGGAACAGAGAGGGATAGTTAGAAACATCGATGAGAGAGTGTCATCGGTCAGCTGCCTCTTGCACACCCCCTACTGGAGATGTGCCCGCAACCAAGGTACATGCCCTTGACCGGAATTGAACCTGGGACCTTTCAGTCCACAGACCAACGCTCTACCACTGAGCCAAACCAGTTTCGGCCAAAAGATGTTTTATCTGACTTAGATGCTAGGTGGAAGAGAGCAATCATGAACTCCTTTTGGAAAACATTGAAAACTGTTAGTTAGAACCATTGAAGAATATATGAAGTTTAAAATCACTTGGAATTATTTTAAAATAGGATGAAAAGGTAATCTCTATGGTTTTAGAGTGTAATAATGTATAACCTAAATAGTCCTTTAAAAAGTGATGGATAATTTTGGAACAGAGATAGATGTGGAGTGTAAAACTAAGTTGAAAAGAAATAGAGCTTAATTAACCTTCAGTGATATTGCTAGAGTGGGGAACAGCCAAATATGGGGTAAAAATAATTGGCTGTTACAGTCCAGGGAGTTACTAAGAGGTGAACAATACGGAGGTTAGAAATTCGGCTCTGTGGTTAGGTTGCGGAGCTAGAATCATGTTCAACAGAGTAGCTTTGTGACCTTAGACAAGTTGTTTAATGTAGTATGTTTACACAGTTTCCTCAATGTTAAAAGTTGTTGAATAAAATAATCTATATAAAGTAGCATTTAATATGTCTTAGCAAATAATATCAAGAAATATGTTAACATTAGCTTCAGAAATTAAAATGTTTCTATAATAGTTTCTTGATCTATTAAGAAGGCATATATTTGCTTCCTTGAATTTTTTTCATCTAAAATTTCCTTTGGTAAGTTAAATTTTTAAATTGTATTCTTTTGTGTGTTTTTCATACAGAGATTAGACTATGGGTCATCATTTCTACTTGGGAAAATAAATGTTATCTTCTCCTTTAGTCTATTAGTCTCTAGGCTGACAGCATTCTTTTTTCTCTATCTAAAGACTTATTTAGCTAGTTGAATGGCTACCATAAGAGTTTGGAGAAAAAGAAAAACGATTAAAACTAAAAAAAAAAAAGATCTTTGTCAACTTAGTTTTCAGTATTTAAGTCAGTGTTTTTATAATACTGTTGTTTTAATATTTTCCATGAAAACTTTCATTAATAGGGAAAATGATTAAAAAAATAAATAATGTGATAATAGCCATATATGGAAAACATGTAATAGTGATATAATTTTTAAAATTTGTTTACTTTTAGATACAGATTTACTTAAAGATTTCTCTCAAGGAGGCACATCAGAAGAAAAACTTCGTTTTCTTGCTCAACAGCAATATGAACAGCTAGCACATGCAATGAAATGTAAGTTTATCAGTTCACTCTTAATATGTTTGCCATTTAAGAAACATTAATATTCTATTTCTCTAGTATAATCAGGCAGTGAGGTGTGAATTTCCCAGAACACTCAGTCTTAACACCTTAAAGTAACAAAATGTTCATTTTTTATCAACTTAAGTCTTTAAAAAATATATGCTTTGCTATCATTTTTAACAGGTTAGCAAGGATAATTCATATTTCTTAATGCTGAAGTGAAATAGTTATCTACATCCATTATGGTAGTTTCATCTTCTCTCTTCCTTCTCTGGTTTCTTACTTGATGTAATTTTTCTGTTGTCACTAACAACTCTTCTACAATCCAAATTTTAATAAACTCTTATTTCTCTTACTGCTAAGTAGAGAATAGAGAGAGGCAATTACACATCAAGCCTACATCTCTTGATTTGAAGCCTGAGTAGTAAGTTCTTTAATCACTGCATTCAGATTTAAATACCATTTAGATTCTGAGTACACATGGACATGGAAATCTAAAAGTGCCTGAGAAATTGTATACATTTTTATGAATTCAGTGCATGTTTATCAAATGCCTACTCAAAGGTAAGGATAGGTGTTAGAGAAAGAAAGAGTCCCTCCACCTGGTGCTAGCAGAGCCAAACACTAGACACTGAGAATTGCAGTGGAGAAATAGTGGCTATTTTATTGAAAAATGGTGCCACCCAGGAGAACGGGAAGCTAATGCTCAAAAGCCTGATTCCTTGAAGATGGGTAGGTGACAGACAAAGGGCAAAATCTCAAGACACCCTTGGTCCCAGGTCATGTTGGGAGCTGATTGGTAGGAGGTGAGGTAAGGATAGAGAATAATTTCCTCCGGTCTTAGGGCAGCTCTGAGGTATTTTTTAGTGTCCCTTTATCTGATGTCATGGGACAGTAGCTGGGGAGTGGTTCCACCTTAGGGCTCAGGAGCTGAAACTTATGTTAAGAGGTTATCTTTAGCCTGCCAGAGGTCCAGACCTTGTGACCATTAGTCAAGTCTGACCCGTCTTTTATTCCCTGGGGTTGCTGATGATCCAGGGGAAAGGCTAGGTCTCTGACAGGTGTATATATAGCCAGAGGGATATCATTTCTAGAATTTGGACTTAAAGCTAACTTTAATCAAAGTTATAGGGACCCTCGGTTTCATAGGGTATTGGTAATTCAAAACATAACGATATAGCGTACATGAGGTAGAAATGAGGCAAAATATAAGGCACAGAAGAGGTCTGCCCTTTTGATGCTACTAAACATTAAACATGATAATTGTGTATATTATCTATGAAATAAGTTGGACAGAAGATTAGAAAGTTGGTAACTAAATTTTATATTTTCTCTCTGACTATTCTATTTAAAATTACAGTATAATCTCTTGAAACTAGACATCCTCCATACCTGCTTTGTTTTCCCTCTATGGCATTTATTATCTAATTACACTTTTCCTGCTTATTTATATCTAAGTATATCAATAAAACATCGAAAACAAGCTCCCCAGAGACAGGGACTTTTGTCTGTGTATCTCCAATGGCTAGAACAGTGCTTGGTAAGTGTGGACAAATGAGTTACAGGTAGTAGCATTACCTCATTTTAAAGATGAAAAATCTGAGAGTTTCAGTAATTTTCCTAGGTTCGGACAGCAGTAAATAATAGAACTAAGATCCACATGTATGTATGTCTGTCTGTCTCTAGAGTCCTTTTATTTAGTTATATGATATGGCTTGTGGAATAGTGGCTGGAAGTAATTGCTCATGGTCATCGTAGTATTTGTTTGTTTGTGTTTGTAACTAACTAGGTTGGTCACATTGATTGAATTTTTAATTCTACACAAAATAGTTAGATTTACTTTTGGGCCACAGACTACATAATTAATATGTGCTATACAGGGGAACCATCTATGGAAATCATTCCCATTGATGCCATACAGTATTAATACAAACATAGGTTTGGAAACATAGCACATTTGTTTAGAATTGTTAATGGGGCCATTGTGTTAATTACATCTTCTTTAAATGTAGTTACGAAAGCTCAAGCAGTTGTTTACTGCACATGTTCAGTGTATCCAGAAGAAAACGAAGTTGTTGTTAAGAAAGCACTGGAATTTCAAGACCCTGGGACCAAAATACAACCTTATAGGTAAATAACTCAACCAAATATTTTTAAAAGTCAAAAATTATGATTTTCCTAAGTTTCCTGAAGATTTTTCCATTTTCTTTTTGTTAGACTTTAATATGCCCAAGTTGCCCATCTTCTCACAACATTAACATCAGTTCTGTAGAGCCTTTACTATGGCTTGGTATGAGCATTCTCTTGTACACTGGATTTCTATTGTTATTGTTGAAGCTAAAGCTGCTTTGACTTACTGTTTTCTGGAAAAATTGAGTCTACACTGTATATCCTGAGTATTAGATACATCCATGCCCTAGTTAGGGAAAAAAAAGTATATAAAATATCCTGAGAAACTAGAGAGAAAATTGGATGTTTATTATCTGAAAACATCCATTTCTTAGTCCCTTATATATAGCCTTTGGCACCAGCAAGACTGAGGTAAAAATAGCCTGAATAACTAGAATAGTAACTTCTGTGTAAAATGTTGCTATCATCTGGGGATAGAGAAGAAAAACAATAATACTATTGTACAATTGAACTGTGAACATCAAGATAAGGAACAGGAAAAAAAGATAAGATATAAGACTATACAACACCAATTAATTCTACAAGTACTGTATGTGATAATAAAGTATTTAAAAATGTTTCCTTCTATTTTCTTTTTTTTTAAATTATCTTTATTGTTCAGATTATTACAGTTGTTCCTCTTCCCCCCCCCCCATAGTTCCCCTCCACCTGGTTCCCATATCCTTCTATTTTCTAAATATGTTTTTATTTGTTTTTAGAGAGAGGGAGGGAGGGAGGGAGGGAGAGAGAAAGGAAGAGAAAGAAGCATCGATGTGAGAGGGAAATATTCATCATCTATCTTCCGCACACCACTCCCCCTATTGGGGATTGAGCCCAAAACCAGACATGTGACCTGACCCCGAATCTATCTGGGATGATGCTCAATCAACTGAGCCATTCCTACTAGAGCTCCCATTTTTACTTATTATTCATGTTTTTGAAACTTTAATTCTTATAGAAGAGTCTTAATATACATATGGTTTGCTTCCTTCTTTTAATTTGGTATTTTTCCTTTGTCCATTCACAAGTGGACATGTTAGTCACACCTGTATTTCCCTTCTTATTTTACTTCCTTCTTTAGTAACTCCTGTGGGTAGCTAACAGCCAGTCTTATGCTCTGAGTGATTCCAACATAGTATAGGCTAAATCACCATCTAGTGGCAGAGAGGATTATTGCAGATATATAACCAAATTCATCAATATGGATGACCATTTGTTAGGAATAAGGTTTCTAAGAGTGTAATATGGCAAACATGGAAGACCATCCATATTTTATTTCACTAGATTTCGTTTAGGTAAACCATTATTAATCTACTAGGGGCCTGGTGCACGAAATTTGTGCATGGAGGGGGAAGGGGCGGTGTCCCTCAGCCTGGCTTGCACCCTCTCCAATCTGGGACCCTTCAGCAGATGTCTGATCGCCCCCTCTTCCCCCCACCGCTCCATGCCCGCTGTCCAGAGGTCCTCCGCTGCCGGGGAGGAAAGCTTGCCTCGTCGCCATGGTGACTAAGCAAGCATTCCGTCAGGCCGCTCATGCTGCCCACTCTCAGCGGCCAGCCCCCCAATACCCTGGGATTGGGGGACTCGACCAGGGCTGAGAGGACTGGGTGCCGCCATCTTTGTGATGGAGTGATGGTTAATTTTCATATTACCCTTTTATTAGATAGGATGAGATTAGGCACATTTGCTGTTTTACTGACTGGGAAGTATACTGTGGGGTAAATAAGAGTGAGGGTTCTAGAGCCTTAGATTTTGAACATTTTTGCAGTATTTGAAAAAGAAACTCATTCAAATGCTCCATACATGTTTTTAAATAACTATATAGCTTTTTCTGTTTTAAAGTCTAATATTGTCTATTTGATGTCTAGTATTTTTTATCATAAGTTTAAGTAGTTGTTAAATATATTATTTCTGGAATGTTCTATTACACCTATAATTTAAATATATTTCTGTTAAATCTTTGTATTTGCAGATTTATCTTATTCAATTTATGGAAAAATGATGAATTTGTTACCTATTTTACAAAACTAGTTGTCATTGTGAAAACCAGATTGACTTTGTCAGAAAAGTCTAAGTTTAAAAAAAATATATTTTTATTGATTTCAGAGAGGAAGGGAGAAGGAGAGGGAAATAGAGGCTGGGATTCTAGCATGCAACTTGGGAATTGAACTCTGACCTCCTGTTTCATAGGTCTATGCTCACCCACGAGCAGCACCAGCCGGGCTACTTTTTAATTCAAGTAAGCATGTTTACATGCCCCCATGAGTTCCTTCTAATCTTAATCTAAGATAGATATGTGGGAATAAGGAGGGGAAGGAGAGGGGAGAACAGAAGGAAGGGAGGGAGAGCAGGAAGCTCAAGAAGAGAGCTTTTTCAATGTTCGGCAAACTCAGATTTCTTACCTGCACCCTGCTCTGATGCTGGAGCAGAGAGCTGCTTTCTTGAGTTGGACCTTTGTTTAGCAGCACATCGCAGGACAGTGTACTATAACAAGGCAAGTGTGTGCCTTTTGGTTAAGTAGGAGAAGGGTACTGTGGAAGCAGAGGAAGGAAAGGTGGCTGTAACATGGATTATATTACCTTCCTCAGCGGATCTTGGTGGAGATTGAATATATAACTTCATGGCCCATAAGGAATGTTTAATAAATTAGCCTGTTCATATTCTTTACCGCCTTTTCAACTGTATTATTTATCTTCTTTTTATATGCCTTGTCATTGTGTATTAGGGATATTGTTTTCATATGAACTATAGATATTTTAAAATAAAATTTTAATTGAAATTGCTTTATAGAAATCTCAAATTTCTGTGTAGACAGGTGTATCAAACTTTTCCTTATTGATCCTTAGCTTATACATTCTTTAACCAGTTTTTCTTTAATATTTTTATATTTAAATAATAGATTTATCTGCTGTTTCTTTTGGTAAAGGAGTAAAGTATAGAGAATGCTCCATTCCCCACCTCGGGTCCTTCACCTCCTTCCCCCCACTGATTTAAAATGCCTCTGGTGTTTTATGTTATAATCCTGCATATACTTCTGTGTGAGTCTGTACTTCTGTGCCACTCCGTTGATGTTGGCTATTTCTATACTAATATAACAATGTTTTAATTATAATTTTAAATGGTTTCCTCTTCAAATTGTATTATTTATTTTTATTTATTTATTTTTAAAATATATTTTTTAATATATTTTATTGATTTTTAACAGAGAGAACGGGAGAGAGATAGAGAGCTAGAAACGTCGATGAGAGAGAAACATCGACCAGCTGCCTTTTGCGCACCCCCTACCGGGGATGTGCCCGCAACCAAGGTACATGCCCTTGACCGGAATCGAACCTGGGACCTCTACCACTGAGCCAAACCGGCTTTGGCATATTTTTAAAATATTTTTTATTGATTTTACACAGAGAGGAATTGAGAGGGATAGAGAGTTAGAAACGTTGATAAGCGAGAAACATCGACCAGCTGCCTCTTGCCCACCCCTGACTGGGGATGTGCCCGCAACCAATGTACATGCCCTTGTCCGGAATGGAACCTGGGACCCTTCAGTCCGCAGACCGACGCTCTACCACTGAGCCAAACCGGTTTCGGCTGTATTATTTTTTTTTAAATTTCAAAATCTCTACCCACATTTGTGTATCATGTAAAACAACCCAAAGATGAATAATCAAAAGGTTAATAATTACCTTTCTATATCTCTTCACCTCCAAATCCCCAAGTGTCCAGCAGCCGGAGCAGGGCCCTGGAGTTCCCTTGATGACCTGGTGTAACCCTGTGTTCCTTTCTAATGTGTGGAGGTCTGGAGGGGGCACTGGGAGAGCTGGGGCAGCTAGAGGGCACCAGAAGAAACATTATTACCACTGATATAGCCACGCCAGTGTATACTAGTCAAATATCAGCCGCATGAGTGTGTGAGTACAGGCATACCTCAGAGATACAGCGAACTCAGTTCCAGAGCACCACAATAAAGTGAGCTGACATCTTTTTACCGTGGAGGGTCTTGCCTTCAGTGTAAATAGCGCAACATTTGTGAAGGGAAATAAAGCGAAGTGCAATAAAATGAGGTATGCCTGTATATAGATACTATACACACTAAATATATGGAACTGTTCCTATTTTAACAAGTTTTAAAAATTGATTATATTGTTATACACAAACAATAACTCGTCATTTTAAAGTGTATAATTCACTGCTTTTTAGTATACTAAGGAAGTGTTTTTAATATATTGCGCAACCATCAGCATGAGTTCCAGAACATTTTCATCACCCCAAACAGAAACTCTAAACCCCCTAAGGAGTCACTTCTCATTCCCAGGGCCCCTAGCTCCTGGCAGCCACTTACATACTTTTGTCTCTATGGACTTACCTATTGTAGACATTTCAGTTAAATGAATTTATACAATACCCTGATATCATAAGCTCGAAAAAATCCCAAATGTCATCATCTCATTCAGGTGTAAGTGAGACTCCAGGTATGAACTTATTTTACTATTCAAAGAAATGGGCTGTCACCTGGGGTTTGGGAATCATTTGGCTTTGGAGGGGCATTTCTGGACTGTAACTTGACTAATGGATTAGTACTAATAATTAGTACTAATCCATTAGTCAATAATAATTAGTATATGTAGTTAAAATACATCATAGACTATCAAATAAGTATGTATTGAATACCTGTTATATACCAGATGCTCTTCTAGGTAATAGGAATATATCAGTGAATTAAAACTGACAAAAATTCCAGCTTATGAATATTTATATTGTGGAGCTATGTTCCTAATTGGGAAGAAATGATTATTTTCAGAGGGTATTCTTTAAGTGAAAACATTTTTAAAAATTACTTCTATGTGTTGAGAACATATTTGAATAGGCTTTAGAAATTTGTTGGTTACAATGTTGGCGAGAGGAGAAATGAGCTCTCTTGCCTTTACAACCTACATAGCTATTATTATAGTAGCATTTTAACAGCTCAGTTCAGCATAAGCATTTATTAAAGCACCATCATTTGCCAGATGCTTTGGCATGTCATTTGAGGTCATGTGTGTCTGCCTAGATCCTAAGGGACCTCTCCATCCCTTTACTCACTTTATGCCCCAGACATATGGAAACACTTGCCATACCCCAACCAGGAATTTTCACGTTCTCCTTTCTGTCTAGAATCACCGTCCTTACCTTATTGGAAACCTAATATTCTTATAGATATAGCACCAAGGCTACTACTTCTGTGAAATCTTCACATTTGATGTCTCCCGTGGCTGGAGTTGATTGTATTTTATTCTGTATTACCATGTAATTGTCTCTAGTTTGCTCAGCATTCTTATTTGTGGTCCTTTATATGGTGAACTGATTAGAGTTTACAATTAAATTGTAAACCATTTATGAGAATTAACATTTATATGCTTTGCACAGTAGGCAAATCATTAATACATATACATTTAACATATGTTTTTCTTCTCCCCCCTCTGTCCCCCCCCCCCCCCCCAGCCGTACAGATCATCATTCAATTTATGGAATGGTCACTTCTGAGCCAACTCTTAATTCCCATACTACAAAATCCTTTATTTTCACTTCTATAAAATAACTACAAAATCCAGACCAGAAACTCTCCTGTCTGCCACACACAGGCCAGGAGGCACTTTCTCTGTTGGCTGTAGCTACAGCCCTTTAAAATGGTTTTAAGTCTCAGAATATAATAGACAAAATTATTAAGAGTTTCTGATATTTTAATATATATTAAAAGTGTTTATTGCCTTGGTTAAATAAATTTTAATTGTAAAAGTATGGAAATATAAGAATTATTTATTATTTATGAATGAACCACTTACTAGTAAATAAGAAATTAATTATTAAATAAAAAAACCAAAATTGTATTTTAAACTTTAGTGATTAGAATTTTTTTTTTCTGATACGAAGTTTTTATTATGTACTTTCTTGGACACTTCATAAGTCATCCATTAATACTAAAAAAAGTTATTGGGAAAAATAATGCAGTTAAAATGCTAGACCAAATTTTTATGTTGTAATTGTGCAAAAGGCAACTAAAAGAAGGAAGTCATACCTTGTGTAGTTTGACAACATGTGGAAGTAAAGGATTTTTTGTGTGATTACATATTAACCTGTTTTGATTAGGGGACCCTTTTTTGGTATTAACATATTGACTTGGGAAAGTTTTTAATTTGCTAAAAGGTTGGTATTCTTGGCATAGTGTTTTTTAAAGGTGAAGAACTTGGGAAGTAGACTAAATTATGAGTAAACACGAAATATTACGGTTTTAAAATTATAATAGTATTGTACAGTTTCAGTATTTTATCCTAACTTGGGATTTATGTTTAAATGACTGGTGAAACATAATAGAAGAAAATTTGTTGCAGTGTACTCTCTGCTTCCATCGGTAAATTAGCCTTTACCAGGGCTGTTTGCTCTGTCTCCTGCAGGCTTAGCCCTCCCGTCCTTCCACTGTGTGCCCGAAGGGAAATACATTCGTCTGCTGATAAATTCTTCAGAATGGAGCCATCTGAAATTACCAACGGTTGTTTTCTTTCTGTTCTAACAAGGGAGGTAAGTCTCTGAGCATTTTGTAACTGTGTGCTTATTTTATAAATAGCTAAAGGGCAGGAATAAGAATTATGACTATGTGGCAAACAAACAAACAAAAAAAAGCCTGTTTTTATCTTTATATTTCTCCTGAGTGTTCCTCTTGCCTGCTCTCCATCCCCACTTCTCCATACACTTTGTCAATACCTAGTTCATCTTATTTCACATATAAGAAATAAGCTCTGTCATTCTTTTTCCTCCCCCATCATAAATGAGGAAATTTAATTACAGAAGTCATTTGCTGAGGATTATGGGATATATTAGAGACTAAGGCCTAAAAACCATTTCTTTTAGTATAATTTATTCTCTTACTTCTTCTGAAACACTGCTAAGTATTTGTAATGTACACACTAAATCAATCCCCACATTTAGCGCCTGCTTCTTTATTGTAGCGGGACCCGTCGGAGACGGTGTCTGTGAAAGACGTTTTGGCCCGTGCTGCAGCAAAGGGTCTCCTGGAGGGAATTGAGTTGGGTAAATCTTCAAAACGGGAAAAGAAGAAAAAATCAAAAACAGCATTGCCCAAAGCTCCCACTACTGACAGTAAAGGCATTCAAACGAAAATTGCTGAGTTCCTGAACCGAGAAACTAATGCAAATGCTAAGCGGCCACTACAGCCAACTACAGCAAAAATATCTCCTCTACAAAAAAGTACAATTCCAGTGGCTTCTTCCTTACAGGTCAGAAAACCCACCAAGCCTGCCGCCAGTCCCTTGGTGCCTGCATTTATGAAGAACCCATCCCTCCCCAGACCCTACGAACGTCCCTCAAATCTCGTAAGACCTCGCCCGGAAGACAAGATGGTTGTACTGAAACCCGTAGAGATTGTTTTGCCTCCAGTGATGTTCCCATTATCGCCTCCCCCCGGAATCAGACCTCATATACCAACTCAACATTTTTACTATGGTTGGTTTGCTCCCAAAACTACTATGCCCGGCTACCATTCCACACCGATACCCAGAAAAGCGGAAAAGCCTAAAGGAAACTTACCTTCTTCTCTACGCAGACATCGTCGACCATGGCTTTGACTGTCTTGTATGTGTGGTGGTGTTTTTCTACAGGGTTTTTCTTTTTTTTAAGCCTGATATTTCTCTGAATGTTAGATATCCCTACACAAGATACTCATCCTTTCAGTCATTAGTATCTTCTACATGTGATATTACCTTTAAGGGAATTAAGACAAATGAGACAACATGGTCCTGTAGGTGGTTAAGCAAAACAAAACTCCAAGAGATTTCACCATCTCAGTGCCGATCTGTCCTACAATGGCCACGTGTAGACCCAGCAGCTGTTAGAACTTGTCTCCCTCTTACTTTCAGTGGGGACCTCGGACACCACTTTGAAAAGAAAGCTACAACAGTTTTTCCTGGAGGGAAACACTGCCTTTTCACAGGCTCTTTTCCTAACTTAATTTTTGAGGCCATTTATTAGAAAGCGCAGGTGTGGAAAAGACGCTGGCCCCTCACCGACTTTAGATTGCTCTTCAGTGTCTAGTCAGTCATAGTCCAACATTTTTAGTCACAACCAAGGTTCACTTTTTCTTAAATATCAGAACATCCATCAAGTCGGGGCTGACGTGAGTTTTGATGGAGGTTGTCTGAGTAGGAAGGACAGGAAGCTCCGAAGTCCCAGGTGTGGGTAGTTCAGATGTCCAGTTAGAGTGAGCACTAGTTCTCATGGGAAGAGCTTCCAGGATATTGAGCAGATGGGACATAATCAGCCCTCCCTTCTATGTATGCCAAATAAGATTGTAAAAAAGTGACTATAAGCTAATTTCCATCTAAGTAGTAACAATTCTGAGGAAGAGGCAAATTGTTAAATACAAGTGACACCTATTGTTGAAGAAACCTATAACAATTTGATTTTATTCAAAGATCAAATATTGAAATCTGAGTCATGTCAAATGGCACACAGTAATCAAATTTTGGTAAATCATTTCTGATGCACAATGAAAATATAGCAGTATGTTAATTATATTAAAAATCAATTAATCTTGACTATATGATCAATTGTCTACCAAGAATTGGTATGATTATCATTTCTGGGTCTATCGATTTTTCCCCCTATCATGGCAAAAGAAATTGCTTGACATTAAGTGGAATAAATGACACCTACAAATCCTATTGTTCAAAAAGTGTTCATAGACACATTCATAAAGTTTGAATTTAAAGTTCTATTTTCAGAATCCAGTTGTGTTGAACAGTGTTATGTAAATTTCTGAATATTCCAATTTAAGAGGCATGATTTTATAGAATATAACCACTTCCAGATGAATGTTTAGATCTGTTTCAACTCTAATGCTCTAGTCTTTATTTTCTCACTTGAAGTGAGGATAAAAAATGGTGAATATCATTTTAGCAGTAACTTATTTTTATTTTAGCTGAAGGTTTACATGTATCAGTGAAATGTATCAATGAAGAAAGGAAACAAAACTTTTTATATCTGAAACAGATTATATTTTCAACATCAAAAGAATTCCCATGTTAATGACTCTTACAATGTACAAATATTTTAAATGCTCAACTTATTTCATTAATTCCAATAGTTAAAAACTATGTGTTTCTTTGCTCTAAAAGTTATAGCGTTTCACCCTCTTATTCCATCTGGCTTAGAGTGTTCCATGCCTCTGGGAGGCCAGGGCAGCTGAGTTGAACTTTGGTAAAGAACTGGTATTTTGTCCCAGGAATCTTCTACCTCTTTCCCACCCTCTGCCCTCTGCCCCACGCTGGAAAGCAGCAGGTCTGAGGTGCCTGCGGTAAGTTATGTGAAGAAAACTCCTTGTTAGGAAATAGTTCAGGATATTTTCCTGATCTCTGTCACAGCATGACTCACGTCGTCACTTTAGGCGCTTGCATTCAGAATCGAGTAACATGCACCTGCCTCTGCATCATTCTTCTCTTTGGAAGTCCATGGAGATCCTCATTAAACCATTCACTAAGCCTGCAGGTTTCTCTGAGAATCTTCTAAGAAGGGCATGATCAATTATTTAGATACTGTGGTAGAGTCAAAAAGGAAAAGTACCTGGGATTAAAACAATATTTGAGAATTCTAGTAAGGAGAATTAAACATTGACATTTTTCTTTCTTGAGGTTCCTACAGAAAGGTGTTGCAAAAATCTAAAATAATGCTGTATTTAGATATTCCAATAGCAAATTCAGATTTTTATCTGAACTAACCATTACATAATACCTGAAACCAAAATGAAATTTTGTTCCGTGAGAGTAACTGCCTTTGATAAGAGTAAGAGATAAACTATCGGGGGAAAAGCAAGATGAGCATAGAATGGGAACATATTTAAATTCTGTTTCCTTCTTCCACAAGTCTAACACTTAAACTAAGCCAGATTTAATGTATTTGTTTTTCTAGTTACCTTTGACTTGGGATTTAGTGCCTGTACAACTCTATTCTTCATTCTTTGATGTCAGGTTCTTTCTAGTTCTTACCAGATGGAAATATGCAGTAACTAAACAAAGCTGAATGTGACATTGCTGAAATGATTTTTTAAATATGTATTCTTATTGATCTTATTGATTCCAAAAAGGAAGAGGGAGAAACATCAATGATGAGAACCTTTGATGGGCTGCCTCCTGCACACCCCACACTGGGGATCAGGCCCACAGCCAGGGGCATATGCCTTGACCAGGAATCAAACCGTGACCTCCAGGTTCATAAGTCAACGCTGAACCTCTGAGCTACACCGGCTGGGCTGACATGATTTTTAATTTGAGGTAATAATCTGAAAATAAAATGACTAGCATGGAGAATTTATATTTGTATTTCTGCATATATGTGACTGACATGCCAGATAAATGAGCCAAAAACTTTATGCAGCTAAGTTTATTCTCACAACATATTACATTTAAATGTGTAAAAGTGGTCAACAGTAAGTGGGCAAGAAAGCAAAACCAAATGTTCTTTCAGGATAAATAAGCTGCTTTGGGAGAGTTCTCGATAAAGTGTGAGCAGTACGTTCCCCTGAAGCTGAAATCCACCTCATGTTGCTGGCTGTGTGACAACCTGTAGCTGTGAAGTAGGGTCAGTCTGGCAAACCAGAGAGCAAGTGGTTTCACTGAATTGTGCTAATATCAGGGAAATGTTTTCCAAGTTGTGTGGGAATCCTGAATGTGTTGCAATGCTTACAAAAATGAGTGTGTCAAATGAGAAAAGAAGAAAAGGGCTCCTACGGTAGTAAAGGACCTTCTGTAGAATCATCTTACCAATGTCGATCATAAAGTCATAAAGTGAATTTTTTAAAAAAGTAGCAGTGCCAGCAGGTTATCACCAAGAACTTATTTTTAATGGAAATGAGAATAATGTCCCTTCATGCAGTAAGACACAAACAAAAAACCATAGTTCTAATGAGCTCTGGGTGGAAACAAAGGCGTGTGGACATGTGTCTCTTCCGGAGGAGATCACACGTGTTGTGATATAAAAGTGCAGCACTGAGCAGTGCTTTAGTATGCAAAGTAAAAACTCGAGCCCTAGGCATGTTGGCCATTCCCTTTGATGCCACCCACGAGCACATATATGAGGTGGCAAGTCTGTGTCTGTCTAGCTGCTTTTAAAAAATAAAATGAGCTTTGAACACCTTGCCTTTTCATCTACGTATTCCAATAAAATTGTGACTACAAATAATTATAAAACCACCTTTTAGGCAACAAATAGTTCACTGAGATTACGAAGACCTGGATACATTGTAAGATAATATCCAGTAGAGATAATACATTAACACAATAATGCAGTATATTTCAGTAAAAATAGAATAAATAAAAATATTTTAAGCTGTATTTAACAGGTTAATTAAAAAAATGAGAAGACATACAAGGCATAGTGAACATGGCTGCCTGCTTACTGAAGGACATAAAGAATGCATAGATAAACAGAGTGTTGCTACAACATCATGTCAAACACTGGTGTCCCTGCACAGAAAAACACACACACTTTCATATATACTTTTTGGCCATGGCAGAAAGTGTCTGAACATACTATCTAACATAATTAACTTTACAAAATCAACCACATTTAGTATGCAAAGCCACCTTCAAAACAAAGTATCTGCAGTAAAGTTTTCAATATGTAAAGGCTATCATTCATTTTAATGTATCCTATAATTGCATATATAAATCAGTTTGCTACTTAAAGCTAGCTCAGTATGCTGATCCTGTAAATAAACATATGCCTTAAAAAAAATGAACACAGGGTTCTGGTAGAGATCTCTAATATAAAAGTGGACTCATGGATGAAGTTTGAAGTTTATCATATTATACGTTTCATTGTGGAAATCAAGATGAAAGAGGATCACGATTGAATTTGAAAAGCTTTCAAAGGGCACAGTATGGATTTTCTTAATGCAATAATTTCTGAAAATGGTATTGGTTACTTGAGATAGAAGCATGTAGGCTGGTGAGAAGTAGAATTCATTTCTAGAGGGGCATCTTTTTTTTTGTCATAACAGAGGCAGGAGGCCACTCCTCATCCCATGCGCTCTGGTGGCTAAGCTGCGTGGATTAGGACGATCACCACCACCCATAATGTCATCTCTGGGAAATGGCCTGGGATTCTGTCCTCACCCTGCAGGACAGCCCTGGACTGAGAAGGCAAGGGTTTTATAATTCATACCAGCGAGAGGACATCCGTCACATTTCCCACTTCTACAGGGAATGCTGCGATTTCCTGGCCATATTGGGTGTGCCCAGAGCCAGCGTGTAAAGATGCCCTGGCTGGTGAGGAGGCAGCATAGCCTACAAATGGAAGCGGAAGCCTGGGTCCTAGTCCTGGTTTTCTCACCAACTTTGGCCAGACCTCAGGCTTGGAGACTGAGCGTTTCGGTACTTCATGTTTTTATTTCTCAAATGTGTTTAGTACCTTCTCTACCTTATAAGGCTCAAGTGTGATAAGGATGTGGAAACCATATGACAAGCACATAGCAGGGGATAATACAGAAAGCAGTTACTTTTATCACTGGGCGTTGTAAAATGTTAATTTTGACATTAAAAAGTAAGACGAATGTTTGGATTGATCTCCTTAGCAAATTAATTTTAAAACAATGTTAACAAGGGTCTAAATCTGTGACTTACAGCTAAGTTTCACACCTATAGAGAGAGGAGAAAAGCGTTAGTTTTGGGAAACTTGTTGAATAGTACATGGTCCTTATGTAGATTTTGCTCTGATAGGAAATTTTTAAATCTTGAAAATATAATGGAAAAAAAGATAAATTAAAAAAATATAGCTAGTGGGGTCTAACACATTTGGATAGTAAAGACATAAATCCAAGAAAGGTTCAACTTAATGTACTTTGTAGCCATGGAAAATACATGATGGACAGACCGCTTTCTGGGCAAAAAGCATTAGGGTAAGACTGAGCCAGAGGCGGAACCCTAGCAGACGTTAGTTAGGAGGTGGGCTAACAAAATAACGTGTGGTAACAATATAAAATATAAATGGCATTTCCTCGATTCCAAATTGCATATTGGCTAATTAGCAAACTAAGGACAAAAGGCTTACGAGGAATACTTCATTTTAATGTCATTTATGCAGAGAATGGCCATAGGGAACTATAATTCTCTAGCTGCATTGTACAATATAAGGCAGAAGTTTGAACATGTCCCACCCAAAATGCATTATGATTTTGTTACCTCTTTTTTTTTTTTTTCTTAATCGGTTTGAAAACCACCTGAAAAGAAAGGCTGTTTTTGTTCGATTTTAATTTCTGACATTTGGTTTGTTTTCACTTGTGAAGTCTCATCCCCCCGCCCCCCAGCACCCCACAGCCAGCTGCAGACACGAGACGGTGTCCACGTGTCGAGCTCGTCCAGGAGAGCGGCCAGTCGGCTTCCACTCTGACGCCAACAGCCGACGTCGACAACGAAAAGGTCCGATTTTACGAATTTAACTAAAAACCATCCTATTTTTACAGCATCTCAGTGGTGTCCGGGACACAGTGTCTTCTCCAGAGGTGAACACAGGACAAAGCTGTAGGACTGCAGCGCTGCTCAGGACAGATGCTGCCACGGAGACCGCAATCCGGGCGTCCCTCACGCCCAGGACTCAGCATCAGTTCGGAGGAGGGAGGGGTGTGGTCACGTTCTTCCCCGTGTGCATGTGTGTGTGCGCGCGCGCGCGTGTGTGTGTGTGTGTGTGTGTGTGCCTGTGTGTGCGCGCGCGCGTGTGTGTGTGTGTGCGCGTGTGTGTGTGAAGTTAATCATGTTCACGATATGTACAATAAGAAAAAGACCTTCCACGGCTCGCGATGTAACTTACAGCAAAAAAATTAGTCATGCTTCTTTTCATTATCACGTGATGGTGGCAAGACGAGAGAACATGCTTGTCTAACACTGTTCGGCGAAGGAGACGTTTTCTGAAGACAAAGCATCAGCGACCGAACGGAAGGCCGGGGACAGTCCGTGTTCTTCGGGGTGGCCGTTGGGTCTTGGGGGAGAGAGAGAGATGGCGGGGCCCTTGGGCATCCTTCAGCAGCTACGGCGTTTCCGTGACGGGGCGCTTCTGTTTCAAAGTGTCAATGAGGGATAAGACCCCGCGCTTCACGTTGGTCGTGACCCGTCTGGTCACCGAGTCCGCGGGCGGCGGCGGCGGCCGGACCTTCTGGGAGGGCGGCCTGGCGACCAAGCACTTCTGGTATCGCAGCTGAAACGAAACAGGTTGGTGGCCGTTAGTAACGCATCCTCCCTTCTTGTTGGGTGTGGTTTTAGTTAATCACCGATACATCTACTCCCCGGAGTTAACGGCCTATCTCCTAAACGTGAATCCAAGAGTCCAGTAACTTTTTCTTTGAGTGGAGTGTTTTAAACGTCCTTAAAAGATCCTGAGGCTTGACAAAGATGCTTTGGCTCTGCCATCTTTTTCCTCCATCCAGCTCCTCCCTCTGCTTGTCCTCTATATTGATAAGCTGCAATTCACATATCTCATCGTCGAAGAGCAAGTCTAAGTTTTACGAGTCTAATGTAAGCCTAAACCTTAATGGTTTAATTAAAGAACCAATTATCCTGGCGCCACAGACAGTTTCTTATCCTTCAGAAAGAAATATAACAGCACGATCCATCTGCTTTTGTATTATACAAAGATAAGTAATACTTAAAAATTAAAAGGTTAAAATTTATCCATTCCCCCCCCCCCCAGTCCAGGCACTTGAAAATAAATCCATGGCTGGGTTTTAAAAACCTACTTAATAAAAAAACATGAATAATTCCCTCTGTACAGTGTGAAACAGGCTAATGCCTGTCCCCCACCTCCCTGAGAAGCATAAACTATCTGTAGCAAGACTCTGGGCCACAGTGTGTCACAGCCTGCAGGCCTCAAAACCAACCCAAACGCACCAAAAAGAAGTCACTGCGTGTCTCCTCTGAGTAAGGTCCCCGCCAGGTCTGCACCACAATCCAGACTACACACTCTGAGAACTCGGGGTTGTTAACCGGGCAGCTGTGGCACATGGTACACTGGACCGGGAGTTCCTAATGCAAATTAGGCAGTTCCAGCGCAAGTCAAAACTGCCCCTATCCCTCTACGCCTTATTCTAAATTTCACCAAAATATTTTCGGCTGGGCTCTACCACACAGCTGCAAAATTTGCATAAAAATTAAGCAGATTCAAGAGAATGTGTTCATGCCACAGCTCATCTCAGATGGTACAGACTCATGCACAGATATTTCAGACGGAGAAGCATACAGATGTGATTCAGGACGCTGGTTTTGGCGTCTAAGGTTTGATTTTATCAACGGGCCTCGTACAGGACTGGCGGAACCTCTCCAGCGGTTGCCCTAATGCCATTCAAGTAGCAAGCAAATGAGTAAAAAAACTGCTTCGAAGACAGAAAATGGGCCTGGGAATCAGGAAACAAACTGTAACCAGTGATAAAGCTAATTATTTAATTGCCGTTGGCATGTGAAATGTATAATTAAGGCGGAAAGCTATTCATTTTATGACTAAAACCATCTGTTACGATCATTTTCAATTTCATGACAGACCTAAACAGTCACCCTCCATTTTTGCTCAGCTGAACTCTCCACCTTCTCTCTTCTCCGCCTGGTCCCTGCATCCCCTCTCAGCTTCCCATATCCCGTCAGGAGGTTCATCTCACCTCTTCCCGCACCCCAGCTTCCCCCGCCTGGCCCTGCTCCTTCAGATGCCTCATCCTGGCTCCACAGACCAGGGCGACTTGGACCCCTGACCAAGGACCTCGGTAAGAAGGAAGCCAGCTCCTCCCTTCCCTTCCCCATCCGCCCCTCTCCACCCAGCAGTTTTCACCCAGTGTCCCACAGGGATTTTAAAAACATGCAATACCTGACTATTTAGTCAGGGGCACTAACCTCTTTTCCCTTAAGAGTGTAAAAAAAAAAAAAAAAGGACAACAGTCAACACAACAATAGCCATCTGGTGTGAACGAATCAAAATTATACCTATTTCTTTTTTTGTCAGATGGCCAGATTTGTATTTTTGGGTGTGCCACAGAATTTTAGTTATTGGGTTGTGTTGCCATGAGATTAAAAAGGTTGAAAATCGCTGCTCCAACCCGATTAGCAGGCTAAGCCCCTCCCCAGGCTCTTAATCTACCACCAAAACCTTGCCCCAACCTCCTATCTATATGACTCCATCGGCTGTACTAGTTCATTTCCCCCAATCCCATAATGCCAGGATGCTTTCTTAGTCCTACCTGAATGTCCCAGAGTCCAGCCCATAAGAGGTGGATTGCACTGGATGAAGCCCAGGTACTTCAAATTCAGAATCTCCTTCGCGCTCCCTCCCCGCCCCACAACCCCTCCAATCATGCGACTCTCCACAACGTCTGCCAGGCCACCAGGCCACCTGCTCCTCGTTTCCATGCTCTGCAACCCACATCTGGACCAGTAACCTGGCTTCCCGGTTGACGTCCCCACCCCAGATTCCTCCTCCCAACCGTCTTCCGCATTGTTTTCTTTTCTTTTGCTCTCAAGTACACTTTAAAAACCTACTGCGGTCAACCCAATCTTTGCTGAAGATCAGCTTTGGCACAGCATTACGGGCGCTTCACCATTCGGACCCTGCGTCCTTCCACTTGGCTCCCCCACCCCAGCCTGCTGTTGCTAGGACCTACCACGCTCCAGGTTTGGATGCCCACATTCACACAATCCCTGTTTTTTTTTACTAGAACTTTCTCAGTGCCAGCATCTGAGTAAGTATTTTGAATGACAAAGTATTTTTGTTTGTGTGAAATCATACAAGATGCGAAGAGCATTGGGCTTTGGTACCCAGGGCAGGTGGGACTGAACGCAGACTCTCACCAGCTCTGAGCCCAGGGCCCCCTTCTTTCCTCTGAGCCCGTCTTCTCATAAATAAGACAACTAACAACTGCCTAACAGGGTTGTTGTAAGGACTGAGTTCACAGGCACGAAGTAAATAAAATATGTAAGAACATAAACCCATAAACCAACTCTCTGAAATAAAAAATCAATCAATCAATCCACTAAATTTTTTTTAAAGTACCGAGTCGGTTCAAAACAGTACCAACTCATGCATGACTAACACTTCCTGATCACACCCTGAAATCAGTAAGGGACTAAGGCCCGAGAATCCTCAGACTCGTGGTTTCAAAGATCATCCATTCCAACGTTCCCGGAATCTCGATGGAATTTGGCTGCATCCGGCCCTGCTGCTTGCAGGTGCCCTCGCCCCCAGTTATGGCAAACTGACTGTCACAATTGATTCTGCCCCCAAGAATGAGAGTGTGACACAGGAAAGCATTACTTTTGAGATTAGACTCCTCTCCTTTTAAACCAGGGACTCTGCTCCGACTTATGGCACAGACAACATAAGCAGGGCGGTGGGCGAACCAGTCCCCGCAGCGGGAGCACTCACCATGCAGGCGGCCTGCACCGCCTCGGACACGTTCGCGGCGTTGGGCTCGCACCAGAACACGTGGCACTCGAAGCGCTGGTTCCCCGTGTCCATGATGAAGGCAAACGTATGGATGTCCTTCCCGACGCCCATGAAGGACAGGAACCGCACGCGGCACTCCACTAGGACTTCCTCTTCGTCCTGCAAGACACACCGCTCAGCGGCCCGCTCTCGGGGAGCCGGGCGGCCCTCACAAACACGTCCGGGCCCTCAACCAGAGATCCAAGCCTAGGGTGGCCACCTCAAAATAGGCAGCCAGGCTGAACCCAGGAAGCACGTGCCCCCAGGGGCTGGAAAGGCCATCGCTGCTGAGGGGGTCTCATCCTGGCATTTAATCTCGCTCTGAACTACTCACAACCGAGGTGTGTGTTCCGCTCCCTGTGCACATGCTCCAAGCCCGGGCGCTCCCTGAGCAGGGGGCGGTGTCATGCAATCATCTTACATGTTCCCCCCGCAGGCCACCCAGGGGCTCCAAGCCCATCTGCCCTGGTGAACCTACTGGAAACCCCGAGTCCCCCAGAGAGAAGGAACCGCAGGACCTGTCTCCATCCAGGTCATCTTCCCCAGCCACACGGCACGCCGAGTCACCCAGGCGTCTTCAAACTACGGCCCGCGGGCCACATGCGGCCCGCAGAGGAGTCTGATCCGGCCCGCCAGGTTTTTTGGGCAGTGAGCGCAGCCGAGGTGTTACAGTAGGAATTAGTAGTTCATATAGTCCGGCCCTCCAGCTCTCTGAGGGACCGTGATCTGGCCCCCACTTTAAAAAGTTTGAGGACCCCTGTTAAAATCTACCCCAAAACCGTGTACAACAGAAAGTCTCCAAATCGTTCTCTCTCACACGCTGGTATCCATGGGATGCCGTGAGAAGGAAGGTTCGCATACCACACCCTTCCCAGCAGCAACCACATGCACGCTGAATTTAGTGAACACAACCAGCCCCTTGACCGGTGGGCCGTTAGCACCTTGACGTGCTAAGCATTCACGCAGGTGCTGTGGGATTAACAGGCCACCTGAGCCAGTCTTGAGAAGGAAAACCCCTATTTTGTGAAAACTGCCGTTTGGAATTTTCTGCTGTTTTTCTTAGACGGCCTCGTATTCTAAAAAAAAAAAAAAAAAAGTTTGCTTTCTAGTCTGCTTTAGCCTGCTTGAATAATGAGGAAGATAAACTTAGCTGTCTGACCCTGTAGGTCCGAGACGAGAGACGCCCATTCTCTCAATGCCATGCCAGGTGCATTTTTTAATTGGATAGAACGGTGTTGTTTTCAAGGCCAGCAGCGAGAGAACCACTAAGCACACACAGGGCTGGCTCTTTAATAAAAAAGGGAAGTTCTGCTTGTAGCCTTGCTTAGAATTTGAATTCATTTTCTCTGAGCCCACCGCGGTGAATAAAGTGAGTCTCTCCAGACTCTCCTGCATTGTTTGATTGCTCGTGATCTCTGCAACAGTCTGGGAGGCCTGGGAGTTTTCCGGGGAGAAATTATGTTCAAGTGGAAATTCGGGTGGGCAAAGGCGTGGGGCACAGGAGCAGGAGAGGGAGAGACCCGTTTGGAGATGGAAGAGAATCCAGCGCCGCACGCTGGAGAGGCAGGCAGGCAGGCTCAGTGAGCTCTTCCTCTCCCTCAGCAGGTGAAGTGGGCTGAGGGTGACCTGCTGGAGGACAGAGGAGCCGCCGAGGATGGGCGTCTTTCCATGCCGCTGTCTCACGGAGGCAGAGAGGTGAGAGAGTCCAGAGCCAGCCTGCCTGTGCTCAGTCCTGACCCTGCCGCTTCCAGCTCTGTGGCCTTGGGCAGTCCCCTAACCTCTGTGCGCTTCCGTTTCTCCCACCACGAGGCTGGGATAATGTGAGTGGAGGCGAATGCCGGCCTCACTCAAGATGACCAGTGGCCCTGCTACCACCAAACCGCAGGATCCCCGACAGTGGGAGCCTCTCCTGGCCCCCAACTCCAGAAACAAGGCCCCTTCACCACCGGAGCCGAGAGGGACCGGCCAGAACACCCAACCACCGGTGCCATGCTGCTAGTGCCTTCCAGGCACCGCCAGCTAATGATTTCCCTTCACTCTGTGGGCAGAGGAGGAAGAAGGAAGCAGGAGCAGCGGAATGGAAGCAAAGGTGCGAGGCACCCAGACGCAAAGGGCAAAAAAATTTTTTAAATGGAGGCTATTTTTATCACAAGCAAGCACAGCTCCCCAGAGCTCCAGCCCTCCTAGGTACCTAAGTTCCACGGAAGACTGCTGTGTCCAAAACCCCAGGGTCACCCAGACAGGCCAAGTGCATGCGCGATCCTTCTCACCTTCTCACTGATGACCGTCACAGTGGCATCGGCCACGCTCATGTTCACGGACGGCCAGTCCTCCTGGCTGGACGAGGTCATTAGACTTTCTATGGCATTGTTCAGGGTGTCCATTCCTGCGTGGATTGAAGGAATCACTGAAAAGGGCCCTAGAGCTGAAACCGGTTTGGCTCAGTGGATAGAGCATCGGCCTGCGGACTGAAAGGTACTGGGTTCGATTCCGGTCAGGGGCATGTACCTTGGTTACGGGCACACCCCCAATTGGGGGTGTGTAAGAGGCAGCTGATCGATGTTTCTCTCTCATCAATGTTTCTAACTCTCTATCCCCCTCTCTTCCTCTCTGTGAAAAATCAATAAAATATATATTTAAAAAGAAGAAAAGAAAAAAAAAGGCCCTATAGCTACGTATCACTCACAATTGTGGGCCCAAATCACCCAGGACCAGCTGCACCCAGGCGATTCTTTTTTTGTAGCCCCAGAAGACATTTCTTAAATTTTCTTAAAAAAACAAGATGGCAGCCTTTTCCACAGGAAGGGTCAGGAGACATCGGAGATGTAGTGAGCGATGCCCTGTCTGATCGGACCACACGCTCCCCTCTCTCTCTCTCTCTCTCTCTCTCTCTCTCTCTCTCTCTCTCTCTCTCTCTCTCTCTCTCTCAAGGTTCCCCGGCCCCGGCTGTATAGACGGGACTCAAGCAAATGCCACCTCTTCCTAAGCACAGAGCTTTGGAAAGGGGACCCCACGGGAGCCACCATTTACGTTGCTGCTTCAACAAGGCCACGCCGGGCGGCACCTTTACCGGAGGTGCGGGAGCTGTTCAATGGGCGCTTTTCCTGCGAGTTCCCACAGCCGCTTTTTGGAGGGGAACGGAATAACAACTTTACCGCGATATCATTCACATCAATGGACAAGCCGCTCACTCATTGTCTAATTCAGCCCAGGCCGTGCGGCTCAGTGGGTTGGAGCGTCGTCCCACGCACTGAAAGACGGTGGGTTCAACTCCAGGTCAGGGCACACGCCTAGATTGCGGGTTCAATCCCCAGTGGAGGCGCGTACAGGAGGCAACCAGTTGATGTTACTCTCAAACATCGATGTTTCTCTCTCTTCCTTCCCCTCCCTGTAAAGTCAGTAAAACAGCCCTGGCCGGTGTGGCTCAGTAGTGAGAGCATTGGCCTGTGCACCAAAGGGTTGCAGGTTCAATCCCCGCCCTGGGCCCAGTCAGGATGCATGCAGGAGGCAAACAGTCAATGTCTCTCTTTCACCTAGAAGTTTCTCTCTCTCCTCTCTCCCCGACTCTTTCCACTCTCTCTAAAAATCAATGGAAAAATGTCCTTGGATGAGGATTAAAATAATTTTTTAATGTATAATTTTTTTTTATTTTTATTTTTGTATATTCAGGGTTGTGCAGCCATCACCACAGCCCACTTTAGAAAATTTTCATCAGTCCACAAAGAAACCTGTAGCATATAGGAGTCACCCTCCATGGCCTCCCAGCCCCCTAGCCCTAGAAATTAAGTGACTGCCTGTTCTGGACATTGCCCACACATGGAGCCAGAGTACGTGGGCCTTTGTGACTGGCTTCTCACACTTCGCACATGTGGTCCAGGTTCGTCACGTGGCAGGCAGCGTGTGCCAGCGCGCCATCCCTCCTCCTTGCCAAGGAAGATCCCTCTGCCCGGCAGTATTTGCCCACGTGTCAGCTGATGAACATCTGGCCTGTTTCTGCTTTTTGGTCCTTACAACAATGCTGCTGTGAACATTCATTTCACCGGAGTATGTGCCTAGGACTCCTGGGTCAAACGGTGACTCCACGCCTGCCAGACCGTTTCCCCAGGCAGCGGCAGGTCTTTACGCCCCAGCAGTACGAGGGTCCACCCGGGCCCAGGGGGCACCTCCGCTGCCTCTCAGCTTCGTATGGCCGAGCAGCGAGGCCCTGCCCTGGGTGTGAGCTGACTGCTGTGCACGCTGCTTCTCAGCCACAGCCTGAAGGGAAAGCATGAGGACTCCCCCAGCTCTCCCCGCTGGCAACCAGGTGGCAAGGACGGAAGCAGGCGCCCGGGCCCCAGAGACGGAAGCCCCTGGAGAGCAGCAAAGCCCTGGATCACGCTTCTCCGGAATGCTGCGTAGCGGGAGACGGGTGCCGCTTCATCACGGCCCTGCGTTCCGGGGACCAAGGGGCTTAGCCTGTCCTCGCTCTTTCGATCAGGACTGTCTGTGTGCTCTGGCTGTGACAGTGCAAGGGCCTGATTCAAGACAAGGAGAGGGGCCGAAACAGCAGACCCACCCTTACGGGAGGGCGGACACTCCCCCGAGCTCCCCAACACCTGCAGGTGGAAAGACAGACTCGCCTCACGTACCGACTGGCTTGTCCACAGGTAACATGCCCAGGTACTGCACGTGGAACTTCTGCACCAGCTCGGTCTTTGGTGTCGGGAAATCTACTGCAGGGAACAAGAGCAGCACATCTTTCTGTGGTTCCCAGAAACACACACACACACACACACACACACACACACACACACACGTCAGCACAGCCATCACCCGGTGCCACACTGTCCTCCGTTGTTGGAGGTAAATGAGGCCCTCGCTCTATAAGAACAGAGATGCTGGGGCTCCGTCAATCAAAATCCCATTCAACTTCCATTTCCCAGGCACAGACACAGTTGAAAGCAGGACCTAGCCCAGCCGGCCTGGCTCAGTGGTTGAGCATCGACCTATGAACCAGGAAGGAGGTCCCTGTTGGATTCCTGGTCAGGGCACATGCCCAGGTTATGGGCTCAATCCCGTGTGGGGTGTGCAGGAGACAGCTGATCGAGAATCAATCTCTCTACCTTTCCCTTCCTCTCTGGAATTAAAAAAACACACAAAACAGCAGGACCTGGAATCTATGTGTTAAAGTTGTCATTGTCTCTTTGATGTGCACTACAGAACAGCGTTTGATGTCCTGTATGTAGGTGTGGTTGACGCCCAGAGAAAATTTAATCAGAAAGGGCGCAATCAGGGAAAATAACTAAACAGAACCCCTCCAAATATCAACCCACCCATTTTCTAGCTAGCTAGTCCTTACCCAGGCTGTAGATGAGGTAGAAAACCACTAAGGATAAAATCTATTAACCTTGTTCAACAACAAAACTTATCTTGGCTCTTTATGCCCAATCCCATCGACACAAATCAACTCGGAGCCGTGGGGCCCGCGGGCCCGCTCAGCGTGAGCTGGTGGACGTGAGCGAGGTTTTAGGGAGATGGGAAGCACCAGGGGACCATCCCGGACCCTTCGGCTCCTGAGTAGGAGAGCAGGTGCCGCCGACCTACCTTGCAAGGGGACGTCGAGATTCACATTGGTTCTTTCCTGTAGGGAGCTGCAGGCCAGGGCTTTGGCATTCTTCCGTTCGGCCATAATCTGAAGAAGAGAAATCACAGCGTGGGCTTGTGGCTACAGAGCTCGCCGCCAGCAATTCGAGCCAGTCAGGTACCTCAGCAGGCTGTACTTCCAGGTTAAACCAGCTGCCTGTTCTGAGAACTGTGCCCTTTTCCCTAGGACTGTGAGGTGAATATGCCTCACAGTAACAGTCTCCTAATCAGTTGACGTTTATTCTTCCATTCACGCCCATTGTTACTAACACGACCCACACAAATATCCCTGGCCTGTGGGGACCTGCTGGCCCACTGTGGTCAGTGGACAGTGCAGTGGGCGTCCCCCATCGCTTCTGGGCGATGCCTCTCAGGTACCATGTTCAGGGCTCTGGGGACAAAGCACATTAGTCCCCCCCCTCTCCCACAGGGACCCATGCCAAGCCCTGAAACCCTGGATAGTACTGAACCCTGTAAATGCTTTATTTTCCCCTCTACATACATATCCACGATAAACTAGGCACGGTAAGAGATTAACAACAACAGTAAAATAGAATACTATAACAATATACATTGATGAGAGTTATGCGAATGGCTTTGGAGCCATTAGTAAATAAAATAAGGGTTACTTGAACACAAGCCCTGTGATACCGAGATGGCTGACCTGATGACAGGATGACCAAGTGGCTAATGGGCGGGCGGAACATCCAGCGTGGATATGCTGGGCAGAGGAGGACTCATGTTTTGGTCGGATGGGGCAGGATGGCATGAGATTTCATTACACTACTCAGAGTGATGGGCAAGTTAAAACATATGAACTGCTTGTTCCTGGGGTTTTCCATGTACTGTTTTCGGATGGAGGTTGGCCGTGGGTACGGAAACTGCAGAACGTGAAGCCGTGGGTAAGGGGAGAGACGGCTGGACATGGGTTTAAATCCCGCCTCCGCCACTTCCTAGCTGTGTGTGACCTTGAGCAAGTCACCTGACCCCGTGTGTCTCTTTTCCTCCAGTGTACGTGGGGATGATAATGTTTAAGTCCCTAACCATAATGTTATGTCAGTTCTAGGATTTAAACGTAAGCACTCAGAAATGTTAGCTGCTGTCGTTGTTATTCTCAATCTGTCAGCCGTCTTCCAAATGGTTTCTTTTCTATTAGGAGAGTCATCACTTTTACTCATTTATGGTGCTGTGGGAAGGAAGGAAAGAATGAAGGAAGGAAGGAAGGAAGGATGGGAGGGAGGGAGGGAGGGAGGGAGGGAGGGAGGATGGACCCCTTCAATGGTCCCCAAAGCAACTCACATCTTCATTCCCAGCCCAAGCTTTCACGCCACGTGGAACAAAGGACACTGTGTCTCCAGGGTCCTCCCCAGAGCGCCGTGTCTGGGCCAGCGGCTCAATGTGCGGTCAGTGGGCCACCCTCCCACCCCTACACCCCGCTCCCCGCTCAGCAGTGAGGACAGAGAGGGAGGAGCCCCTGCACCCTGGCCCGCCTCACCTTGGAACAGATCTCGTGGAGACTTGTGGCGATGGCTTTTGCTGGTGTGTCACATCGAAATACATGACATTTCAAGATCCGTGTATCTCTGTCTCTTGCTACATAAGCAAAATCTCTGTACAAACAGAATTCATCAGGACGTTACAAAAGGAATCTTGACTAACACACTCTGTTGGAGAATGCTAACTTGCTAACTGAGCTGGTGGCCCGTGGGTCAGTGGTAAACAGTATGCAATGGTTAAAAAAAAAAAAAAAAAAAAAAAAATTCAACAGGTACCTAAAACAGAGGGACAGCTTTACGGGTATGAGGAATTCCTTTCTGAGTGACAGGACCACAGGCATGTCTGTGTTAGGTGACGTGGAGTCTGACTCCTGGTGACTGAGTGATGGCCAGTGTCGCAGCCCTGCTCAGCTCCCGCAGACTCGGGCCTGTGGCTTCTTTCATGGAGTCACTCCGTTACCTCCTTCTATTTCCCCAGCATGACTGTCTTTTCCCAAGATCCCTGCGGTGGGACAGCTTCAGTCCTGTCATTCAGTGATGTTTCAGGCTTATCTTGGAGACGCTGCGGGTCTGGTGCCAGACCACGGTAATGCAGTGAGTCACATGTCGTTTTGGGCTCCCCAGTGCTTATAAAAGTTGTGTTTACACCGAACAGTCGTCTATTAAGTGTACAATAGCACTATATCTACAGAAATAATGTGCACGCCCTCACTGAAAATGCTTTATTGCTGGAAACTCTAACCCTCATCTGAGCCTGTTGGAAAATGGCACCAAAAGACTCACTTGGCGTGAGATTGCCACAAACCTTCAATTTGTTTAAAAAAAAAAAAAAAAAAAAAAGTTGTGTCTGCTAAATGCAGTAAAGCGAGGTACACCTGTACAGTGTTCCCCAAACCAGGTCGGCGATAGCCTTGGACTCTCTAACAACACTTAATGAAAAGGGAATTTTATAGGAACCTTTTATTGAGAGAAACAAATATGATGATAAGCCAAACAGGCTGGAGAAGAACACGGATTTGCATGAGTGATACTGTGACCGACAGAGGGCCGCAGAAGCAAATGGGCGCTGATGCGTCAACATGTGCAGAGAGGAGAGGACCCCCGCTGCAGGCGGAAGCTGAGGGGCAGCCACAGGGGGGCGCTGGAGCACAGAGACCCTGCAGACTGGATCCTGCCCCAGGCCCCGGTTCTGTCTGTCAAGCACGACTCCTCCTCCAGCGCTAGGGCGGGTGACCACAGGGGGAGCTCAGACCCTCACCCGCAGGGAGCATGCAGCCGGGGCTGGCTTAGGTGTCTATTTTGCTGATGAAAAGGGTAATTACTGTGGCATTACCTGGCTTCAAAAGAACCGTGTCATATTAACTCAATGTCTCACTGTTAGTGGTTTAAAGATCAAAGTGTTTATGAAAAATAAATGCCGAGATGTACCCGCCTGGTTACGGATCACGATGATTGCTTGACGTTTGTTGCTAAGCCAGGATAATGTCTGCATATACTATAATCCCAGATGAATTTGTTTTTAACGATTTCTACTAATGTAAGAACTGGTGGTCTTCTCACAGGCTGTGACTGATCCTTTCCCCAAGACGCCCTCCGCTTCCTCGGAAAGGCATGGGGATGGGGGCACCGGGGCAACTGGCCACGTGAAGGCCTTGCCACGCCCAGGCGGCCCCTTGGGGGGACCCCCTGAACCTGGCTCCAGGTCAGGGGCACCTTTACCCGACTGCGCGCAGGCCCTCAAACTCTAGCCCGCCCACCTCTGACCTCCCTACCTTCTCTCTCAGCTGGTGTCCTCCACGCTAGAACCAGGACTTCCTCACCCCAGCCCCAAGTTCAGCCCATTTTACCTTCTGAAATGCCCTGGACCCCCCCTTCTTTCTTTCTTTTTTTATTTTAAATATATTTTATTGATTTTTTACAGAGAGGAAGAGAGAGGTATAGAGAGTTAGAAACATCGATGAGAGAGAATCATTGATCAGCTGCCTCTTGCACACCCTCTACTGGGGATGTGCCCGCAACCAAGGTACATGCCCTTGACCGGAACTGAACCCGGTACTTTTCAGTCCATAGGCCGATGCTCTATCCATTCAGCCAAACCAGTTTCGGCCCTAGACCCCTCTTTCCTTGCCTGGCCCTCCCCCGCCCTCCCCCCACCACGCAGGCAGGAGCAGGCTCTCGCCTCCCTGCCTTTGCCCAGGCTGTCTCCATGTCCCTGTGGGGGTTTAGGGCTCAGCTGAAGCCGGGTGGGTGCCCTGCCCGGTGCTGCCACAGCTCCCCATACAATGTTCTTAGGGCCATACGCGTTTCTTTATGAGTCTGTCTCTCCACAATTCCGTGCAGCTCCCCGAAGATGACGTGTGCCTCATTCATCCCCAATACCCATCGAGGCCAGGCTGCCATCGGACCCGAGTGCCCGTCCTTCCTGAGGCACAGGCCGGCAGCACCCACAGGTCAGAGGCCAGAGCGGGCCCCGTGGCAGCGGGCTGAGCAGCCTTCCTCCAGGCTGTGGTCCTTTCCACCCCAGTCTCAGCCACCATCAAGGCAACGTGTTACGTAAAAACGAGGTGAGAGGAGGCATCACTTCTGAAGCCCACGCTCAAGGGAAGCCGTTTTTGGCCCCTTCCTCTGGCTGCTCTTCCTCCCGAGACTTGTCCTAACGTCTACACACACAGTCTCACAGCCACCGCTCCTTTTCCTTCGAAATGCCACAGTCCGCCCCATTGTTATGAGGCAATAAATAAATAAAATAAATAAGTAAAACCCAAAAAATCTCTTCAAAGCTCTATGGCCACCCACAGGAAGTCTAAAAATCTTGTCTGGATTTCAGGACTCCCCAATTCTGTCCCACCAGCATCTCTCCTCCACCCGAGGAGCTCTCCCGTCCGCCCCAGAGCGTGGGCCTCGTGTCCACTCGTGGCAGCTCCCGCGCCTGCTGGCCACCGGCCTCCTGCGCGGTCTGGAGCCCGCTGCTCCTGCACTCTGTGAGGTCCAGCCCGGAAGCCTGCCTGGCCTGCTGGCCCTGGCTTGTGTCTAGTTTATTCCGGTATTTAAGTCTGTGCCCCAAAGGATGGGAGCTGTGCTTGCCATGCAGGTCTCGGCTGTGTCTGTCCTCTCTCAGAGTCAGTGCACAACAACTGGGCAATGAATTCTAGTCCTATTTTATGACTAGTCCCACTAAGGTATAGAACCTTGGGCATGGAGTCTAATCTCATCACTAAGTGAGGGGGAATACGCCAAAAATCACAAAAAACACCATTTCCGAGGGCCCTTTCTGGCCCTGATGCGCCGTGATGCAAACCTCCAGATCCATCAGGTTCCTACATAAATAGAATTTGCTTATGTTTTTATCTCCCTCAAAAGGACTTCAAGAGACATCTACAGACTTCTCACTGGTCACCAAGACCAGGAGTCGGCAAACTGTGGCTCGAGAGCCACATGCGGCTCTTTGGCCCCCTGAGTGTGGCTCTTCCACAAAACACCACGTGTGAGCGCACACGCACAATATTATTGAAACTTCGTGACCCGTGCGCAGAAGGCGGTTTTCGGCTCTCAAAAGAAATTGTTGTACTGCTGATATTTGGCTCTGTTGACTAATGGGTTTGCCAACCACCGACCTAGACTAACATTTTGAAGTCCCATCTACAGCAGTCTGGGCAGGCGGTGCCCGGGCCATTTCAGTAATATGAAATCTCACTTAGTCAATCAGCCTGTCTCCCATTGCTGGGACATTTCTAGTGAACCAGAATATTTCCCCCCCTAAGTAATGAGCTGAAACTTGCCTCCCTGCGACTGTTGCTTGCAGGATCAAGCTCTGCTTCCTGGAGCAGCGCAGGAACAAGCTGACTTTGTGAGTAACATGCAGCCCGGACCTGTCTGGCAGTAACATCTCTTTCTTTCCTATTAGACTCCCTTCCACTCTGTCTGTCCCCAAACCTCCTCGGTTAGGGTCCCTTACCACATCTCTACAATTTGACACAGTCCTCCCCAGAATCCAAATTTGCTCAGGTCAAATACACATCATGTTTGAAGCCAGGAACTTGTGAAGGCTGGCAAGTGACAGGCATTTGAATTGAGCAATTTTGTATTATAAAAGGCTAATATGCAAATTGACAAGACCTCGGAAAGACCAGTCGCTATGACAAGCACTGACCACCAGGAGGCAGGCGCTCAACGCAGGAGCTGCCCCCTGGTGGTCAGTGTAGAAGCTGGGCTCAGCCAGAAGCTGGGCTCACGCTGGCAAGCGCAGCTACTCCCGCAATGCTAAGGACCCCTGGGGGGATGTCCGACTGCTGGCGTGGTGAATGGGCCTAAGTCAGCAGTCAGACGTCCCCCAAGGGGTCCCGGACTGTGAGAGGGTACAGGCTGGGCTGAGGGACCCCCCCCCCCCACCCCAAGGCACAAATGTTCTGCACTAGGTCTCTAGTATCATTATAAATGTGGTAAACCAAGTACAAGAAAAAGGCTGAAGTACTGCCTCCTAACCCACGAGGGATGTCTTAATGACCACTTGTATGCATATGAATTATGTTAAGACTCGCTGAATTGTATGCAAAGGCCCTTTCCTCCCAGCCCATCTTGCTGTAAACCACAGGGTTGTCACTACTGCAGAGGGTGGGCCCCACCTGCAAATAAGGACAAAACAGCAGCAAAGAGATTTGGTCCGAGCAGCCATGTCTAGCCCTCTGTGATAAAGGGCCTTCTCTCCTCTCCGCTCCACCTGCACAGGGCCTGGGGGAGGAGTCCTGCTTCAAGACTGCCTGCTCTTATATTCTTATTGGCTCTGAAAGGCTTGTTTTGGGGTGGGAGGAGGGACAAGGGAGAAAGGGAGTAAGAAATGTCATCTTTCTAGATCGCCAATCCAGAAGATTTCTCTCTCTCTCTCTCTTTCTCTCTTTCTCTCTTCTCTCTCTCTCTCTCTCTCTCTCTCTCTCTCTCTCTCTCTCTCTCACACACACACACACACACACACACACACACACACACCCCTTTGTTTCCTCATTTTACCCCGTGGCCTATGCACCCCACGTGAGCATCATGAACAGCACAAAGCTCAGGTTCCAGCCTGGTAAACTCAACTTCCTTCTTCCTTCCTTGCAAGCTTAGGGTGCTGACTTAGTAAATTCCAAAAGGTGTCCCCTAGGAACTTGTCACCTGAGCGAACCCTTCTCCACAGAAAGCCCCTCGCCGGGCACCTCCCTGAGGCCACACCGGCCGGGCGCGCAGCAGATCCGGGAGCCGTCCCTACAGCAGTCTTGGGGAAGGCCCAAGGGGGGAAAAAGGAGACATATGTACTACTATTTGTAATGCTTCAAACAATTATAAAAAAAGATTAAAAAAAAAAATAAAGCAGTCTTGCTGTTCATATTCAGAGCAACGGCTTCCCAGTGAGAAGGCCTGAGGGTGGGAACTCACAAACTGCTGGAAACCGCCTCACCATTGGCTCACACAGGACTGAGGACTTCAGATCAGGGGGTTCACATCCAAACAGCCAGCCCTCATTTTCCAGAACATTCCACTACCTCCAGAGGTCAGACTCCCAAGTTCTCTTTATCACCCCCTCTGGAAGGCTGGTCCTGAGAGTGCGCCCCCCCACCCCCTCGCCCCGCACCCCCCAGCCTATGCCATTTCCTGCTCCCTCCTCCCCGCTGAGCACAGACAGCAGCTCCTCCTCAGGGAGGACAGTGCCCTCAGGGAGCTGGCTCAGCCCAGCCAGGTGGTTCACTGAGATCCACTCCAAAGCGATGGCCTGTGTCTCCTTACTTTGCCAAGCAGAAACCATGACCCTTCCTTCAAGGAGAAACATCTCAAAACATTCTCCTTTTATGAAAAATGGAGAGAGGGTCCCGGCCGGTGTGGCCCAGTGGTTCAGCATCGACCTATCAACCAGGAGATCATGGTTTAATTCCTAGCCAGGGCACACGAGTGGGTCGCGGGTTCGATCCCCCAGTGGGGGGTGTGCAGGAGGCAGCCAGTCAATGATTTCTCTCACATTGATGCATCCGTCTTTCTCTCCCTCTCCCTTCCTCTCTGAAATCAATTAAAAAAATATATTTTAAAAAATGGAGAGAGGTGAAGGGTGTAAGAAGAAGGAATCGGCAGTTTTAGGACAGTCACGGGATGTAAAGCACAGTGTAGGGAGTGGAGTCAGTAACACCAGTAACACCAGGTGTGTGGTGCCAGGTGGGCCCTGAACACATCAGGGGGAGCACTCTGTAAAGCGTGTGACGGTCTAACCGCTACGCGGTGCACCTGAAACTAACACAACAACACCGAGCGTGAACTGCAGTCGGAAAACAAAACGTGGGAAAGGGGGAGCTTTTATTATGTGACAGAGGTACGGAACAAGGAGAGTAAAGCCTCCCCTCGGCCTGACAGGCAGGCTGACATTCTGAGCCCTGGAGACGCACAGACTAGTAACATGCTTTCCACAGGCTGCCTGGAATTCCACGTATGTGGGCCCAGAATCGACATGGAAAATGGGCCTGGAGCCAAACCTTACCGATAAAACTCGTGATTATGCAGCATAAGCAAATCCTACTATTACTTCTCTGAGATCGGGAGAAGCCTCCTTACCCAGCATGGCACATAAGTCAATCCTTACCCAGCATGGCACATAACTCAATCCTTACCCAGCATGGCACATAACTACATAGTCCTGTCAGCTTATGGCTAGTGTGCCCGTGCGACTGCCTTGGCCCTCCCCCTCACTCCCCAGTGACCACGTCCCGTGTGCAGTGCCCGCCACCTTCCCCGGGCAGGGCCAGAGACAAAGAGGGTTAGGGACCAAGATGCAATTCAACGCTTTACTTTAAAACGAGGTCACACGACAATGCTGATGATAAAACGCTACACAAAATAAAGTTCTGTCTCTCAGAGACGAGGACGGCTGTGAAAGTGGCGTGAGGCATGGAGACAGACAGTGAGTGAGCTCTGCCAGACACGAAGGCACCGGGAAGGGGGAGAAGCGAAAATCGATGGTTACCTCTCTCTGCGTCCGGGAAGGCATGAGGGAACAGAGCAGAAAACAGCACGTTAGCATTCACGCAGCATCCGGCAAACACGAGTAAAAACCACCCCGCAGACTGCAGCTCGGAGCACTGCCATCCCATCTTACTCCCCAACGCCGCTGCAATTAATAACCTGCCGGGGCTTATTTTAGCCGAACTCTTAACGCCGAAGCGTGTATTTTGAGCCATGTTACCATGAAGCCAAGAGAACCAGCTGAGTTTACAGGCAACATATCAGCCGGGGGAGGTAATCGAGCTTAAAATATCCCCGTCAAATACAGGACACTGTTCGCAGCAAACACAGGCAGGGCACGCAGCCCCGGGTTCCAGCTCCACCTGCTCCCAATAAAACCCACGTGGGAACGACGACGACATGGAAACGGCAGGACCTGTTTTACCAACACGCCTGCCCTTCTATTAATGGAGCGGCTGCGTTATCATCGAGGGACTTCCACTGAAGGGCCCGGGAGAGGGCGGCAGGACAGGGGCGGAGGCAGAGCAGGTCAGGGCCGAGGTGGGACGGGGGAGGGCCAGTGAGTGAAAGCGGGAAGGGTGAGGACAGGGAGATGAGCCGGGGAAGCAGAGAAATGCTGAGAGCACGCTGGAGGTCTGCGGCCGAACGCCCTGACGGAGTGCTGCTCACCACCCGCTCCTGCTCCGGTCACAGCCGCCCAAAGCGTGTGAGAGCAGAGCCCCACCTCGGTCCCATGTGTGCATTCAACACAGAGCAAGGGGACGGCGGAGGCGGGGGTGCCAGTCACACGGAGGCAAGGACGAAACCCGCTTTTCCAGGCGCCCCGTGGCCAGGGAAGGTCACGGAGCAGCGGGCGGGACCCTGCGGATGTGAAAGCCGAATGTGTGATGGGAAACACAAGCTCACCGGACAGGGAGCCACAGCCCTGTCCTGACAGGGCCTCGCCACGGCGCACGGAGAGGAGAAACCAAACAGGCAGACGATCCACGGCGCCGGTAACCGGTCTCATGTGAAAAGCAACAGGGTTCGAGTGTGTGTTGTGACATGTGCACAGTAAGTCTAGAACAGGGGTCGGCAAACTCACTAGTCCACAGAGCCGAATATCAACAGTACGACGACTGGAATTTTTGAGAGCCACATTTTTAAAACTTAAACTTCTTCTAACGCCACGTCTTCAAAACAGACTCTCCCAGGCCGTGGTCTTTTGTGGAAGAGCCACACTCCAGGGGCCAAAGCGCCGCATGTGGCTCGCGAGCCGCCGTTTGCCGGCCACGGGTCTAGAACACCACCGCACCCAGACTGTCGGCGGGAGGAGGGCCGTGGCCCTCTCCGCGGACTGGCTGGGCACCACGGACCGCGGGATGCGGGAAGTCACCTCCCGCGTGTGTCCCTCTGCTCCGCCGTGGACCCTGTGCCAACATTAATCTTTGGAGGCAATCGGCCCATGAACAAAGGATCCAAAAGGCCCGGATTCGAATCTAATGTGGAGTCAACACAAGAAGCTCACCCTCCCTGAGTCTTGGGTTTCTCATTGCCGACTACGTAGATCAGGGGTCTTCAAACTTCTCTCATTATGAGAATCACCTGGTGGAGGTGTTAAAACACAGATTCCTGATAGCACTTCTTATAGTTGGGATCCGGGAATCTGTGTTTTAACAACTCCACCAGGTGATTCTCATAATGAGAGAAGTTTGAAGACCCCTGACGTAGATGGTGAGGCAAGGAGTTGCACCGTGCCCCGATTTTTATCCGAAATAGACCTGTGAACGGCTTGACTCGCACTGCAAAGAATGAGCAGGCAGCATTTCCTTGACTAGATTTTGACATCTCCCCAACTGTTCTTAATTTGTTACTCTGCACCTAGCGAATGGCAAAAAAAAACAAAAACACAACACTGCTCAATAACCTTAAACCTAGAGACCTAAGAATACAACATGCTTCTCTGTGCACTTATCATCATCATCATCGGAGCCCCGGTTATTTTAAATCGGACCCATTGTTAGCATTCACTTAGAGAAATAACATCGCTATGTAGCCGCTGTGTTTTTCCCCATTAGGGCTGAACGTGGTAAAAAACGACACTACAAACTTTTAACAAGGTTAACTGTGTTAGGGGGAACAGACACTGCTTGATTTAAGTGTTGAAGTGAGAACCAGCCATACACGGGGGCTTTAGAACGATCTCCTGTAAACAACGCAGGAGAGCCACAGCGGCAGCGGCTCCACCCATCTCACACCTTATACATTTGCTGGGCCGATAAGCACCAGCCCCAACCCGGGCTGCTGCCGGAGACCACCATCCCGGGAGTGGAGAGGCTATACTTGTCAGGCGCGAGCTCACTCCCTGCGCGGCACAAGGCCCCGGCGGGAAGAACGAAGCCCCAGGAATAACCCCACACCAGCTGCACGGCCAGGGCTGCGGAGCCGCATGCTCTCGGGGGCTGCTCCTCGGGAAAACGAATGTGGGAGTAAAATTGGCAGTGTTTTCATTAAAGTAAGCCTGGCAGAATGACAGAACTGCTTGGCATGTGTAACCGGGCGTCCGAGGGAAGAGGAAACCCCCCCCCCCCATAAATAGCATACCAGACGGTCCTGGCTTTTTGGGAGGACATTGCCGAACCCCCGGCTCGGCCACCTGTTTCTCATGCAGCACACAGCCACCCCGCCCGAGCCCGGAAAGCAGACCGGCCAGGGTCCTTCTCCCTCCGTTTTCAGAACTCTCTGCTGCGGGCTACTGTTCGATGCTTGTCTTGCATCACCGGGGTGTGTGTGTGTGTACGTGTGTCTTAGAGAACCTGCACAGGCCAGCATCCTCCACGTGACAACAAAGTTAAAACTGGGAAACCAGTTTGGCTCAGTGGATAGAGCGTTGGCCTGCGGACTGAAAGGTCCCAGGTTGGATTCCGGTCAAGGGCATGTACCTTGGTTGCGGGCACATCCCCAGTAGGGGGTGTGCAGGAGGCAGCTGATGGATGATTCTCTGTCATCGATGTTTCTAACTCTCTATCCCTCTCTCTTCTTCTCTGAAAAAATCAATAAAATATATTAAAAAAAAAAAAAGTTAAAACTATAAGACTGTCATGCCAACTGCTGTACCTGAACCTGTTTATTTCTGCCCCCCCTGCTCCCCCCACCCCCCGCCACAACCCCCCAGATTCAAATGTTTGTGTTTTTTTGTCCGACATTGACTAGCTGTTCGCCCTTGGCCAAGGCCCTTAGCCTCTGTGTTCCTCAGTTTCCTCATCTGTAAAATGGGAATGACCCTGTACTCCTAAGAGGGCTGTAAGGATTACTCTTTAATCTGCAGAAGGCTCGCACAGCCAGGCGGTGTGTGCAGTGTGCACCGGGTGTGCGTGCCAACCCGCGTGGTAACTCACCAGGGGGTGAAGAGGGAGGTATGCAACAGGAAGGTCCCTTCCTAACCTCTTTTGCATCCTGGGACCTTTTGGAATCTGGTAAAAATGCTCCAGAAAGAAGTGTGCGCTGACCCACAGTTTTATGCACACTCTTAGGTGGTGTGTGTGTGTGTGTGTGTGTGTGTGTAGAGGGGAGGGCGAGGTTCAACAGTCCCTGAAACTCACTCACAGACCCCTTTCGTGTCCACACTCCGAAGGGGAAAGTCCTCTGACCTAGACGGAATGCAGGCTTTATGCAAATCTCCCATCTGGTGTGTGGTGAGTTACACAGAAATTCAGCTCAGGGAAAAGGTTCCGGCCTTCCCAGGGCCCTGTGGCTGCAGCAGAAACACCATCTCTGACCACGGGTGCCCCTTTGTGTCCCACCTCCCCGCTCAGGCCCAGCACAGGACAGCCTGTACCTGAAAGAGGAATACAGCGTCAATGGGACCAGTTGTGAAGCGGAGGCCCTGAAGTGGGGCAGGGTTATTGAAATGCAAGGCACATCCTTCTAAACAAAGGGCTTTCTCATGCCACTGGAGAGAAGACACAATAGTTACCAGTCAGCTTACTAATGAGGGAAAAAACATATTTAAGAGGCAACAGGAAGTGAGTATTTTTTTTTTTTAAATCCATCTTTCAAGAGAGCACAAATGAACAAGTGTCTGCTCTCATCTGTTTTGTATTGCAGTGAAAAAACAAAACAATCTCACTTCTCTGAATATCTGAACAAAAGAATACAACCATGACTTACATTTAGTTCTCAAGTGAGAAATAACTCACAGAGTGTTACAATTCCTTGGTATAAAATGTAGGGCATAATCAAAAGATAAAAACTATGTAAATTATACCTGAATTATGAAACCACGGGCTGGATTCCTTCCTGAAAGTTGAAATGGTAAAACAAAAACAAAACCACTTGATTCCCAGGAGGCTCCTATCTGACAAGGTGTGAGTAATTACAGCTTTGATACAGAGAGGGACAATGACAGCTCTTCACTCAGGGAAAGTGAGTTCCACGCAATAAATGCCACCAGGGCACAGACCACGGGCAAGGGACAGACAAAACTGCAGGTTAAAACCACGGTGAGCCTGAGGATGAATTCTCTTACCCAGCCACCGCAGAGGGCTGCTTGTGGGCAAGGCACATTCTTAAACTAGTTCCTAAATTTTCCTAAAATTTTAAGAGGATTTAGGGCTATCACGATATGGCCAATCCCCTTCCTTCCTTCCTTCCTTCCTTCCTTCCTTCCTTCCTTCCTTCCTTCCTCTCTCTCTCTCTCTCTCTCTCTTTCTCTCTCTCCCTCCCTCCCTCCCTCCCTCCCTCCCTTCCTTTTCTTTCTTTCCTTTCTTTCTTTCTCTTTCTTTCTTTCTTTCTTTCTTTCTTTCTTTCTTTCTTTCTTTCTTTTCTTTCTTTCTTTCTTTCTTTCTTTTTAAATATATTTTATTGATTTTTTACAGAAAGGAAGAGAGAGAGAAAGAGAGAGTTAGAAACATCGATGAGAGAATCATCGATCAGCTTTCTCTTGCACACCCTCTACTGGGGATGTGCCCGCAACCAAAGTACATGCCCAACCAAAGTACAGGCTGAGGCTTTCCCCATTCAACTGGA